CATCATTTTAGTTCCTTCTCTGCATTTTCTATTCTCCTAAATCTCATGCAAAATTTTAAAAAAGTGATATGATTAAGTAAATAAAACGTTTTCATAAAAGAGGTATCAAAACAAGAAGAAACAAAAAAATCTACTTAACGCGTATACTCTCTACTCGAGTTTAGCAAAAAGAGCTATGACACAATGGGTTAGCGGCAGCTGACCCCAGGACCTCAAGAGGGAATTCTAATATTCTTCTGTGCAACTACTTCAGAATTTCTGAATAAATGTTTAAGTTTAACAGTGATCACATTTCTAAACTGTAAAATTTTCCTCTTTTTCAAATTTACTCCTTGAGAAACTTTGGGGAATTTTTTCAGAAATATAAATAATGTCCAAAAGGACAAGATTTTAAGATGGTATTGCATTGTTGGGCATTAAACATCACGAAAAAACTTTGTATTTACCACTCCTGAAACTTGAATGCCATCGATACCTGTTTAACCTGTATCTTTTTTCTTCTATATCCTTATTTCTAAATTGACAGTTCCGTCTGAATGCACGTAAAAAAAGCGATGTGATTACACCTGATATTTGTTTATGAACTCCACGCTTACTTATAATCATTAAATGTGAATATTCCTCAATTTTTGTTTGGCGGTTTCCACTATAAGGGCAAAAATGGCTAGTGAAAGTCGAGTAAGGAAACTTGTAGTTGTTTTCTTGACGGAGTTGGGAACTGTCTCACAACAGAAGCAAGGATTTCTATCAGTTGGTCGTTTACAAAAATAGTATATTATACCAGAAGCATACCTTAGTGTTTTTACCAAAATATCCTTTTTCATCGAATTTGACAGGTACTGGAACAGAGGAAGTAAAAATTGTTTCACTGAGATTCCATTTGTCAGGTAGGGATTCGGGAACAGCGTACTCCAAAATTTCTTTCCTCCAGTTCGACGAACTCAAGAACCGCACCTTAATAGCACATTTTGCGGTTTTTATGGCAGAAATAACAGCTCTGAATTGTAACTTGTGAAGTTTCATCCACTCGTAGTCTCCACGCAGTAAAGAAATCAAAATAAAACACCGTTCTAAATAACATGTCATTAAGTTACAAAAGCTCACACACTCTACAATTTCCAGAACCCGTATAAGCTAGCGGCCCTACTATTTCCCGATGGTGAGCCCCCTAAAACCTCCCTCTCCTAAAGCGGATATCTGAGTCAGTATTTATATGAAGTAGGCTGCAAACTACGCTTAGGCATCGTTTATGCAGGTCACCTCAGTTTCATGAACTGCTTTTCAGATTACGCGCTTCTTGGCTCTCTCATTTACTAGCTCATCTAATTGTAATTTTCGTTCTTTTTTGGTTGGCTTATTGCTTAACTTTGAGGTGGATAATTCGTTGTAATTTTGAAACACAGGTCTGAATCTCACACTGTTTTGAAGCTATTCTTCTTGACTGTTTATTCCCTTTCTTTCTTCTATTTTCTATATCTAAGTAAGAGGTCTAGTGTTTGCAAGCTTCCTACATAGAAGTTTATACATTGTGACAATGGAAACCTTTGATATATAGAAATTAGTTGGAATTTTAGTCGATGCTGCAGTATATAAATTGGGTGTTAAAAAAGAAGGTGATAAGTTTAATTATCATACTCTGAGCATATGTAGTCTTGATTGATTTATTCCGTATTCAGTAAATTAATGGAAGCAGGTGATGCTTGGCAGCAGTTGAAAAGCATTCTACAAATAAAACGCCGCGAAAAATAGCAGTGAAAGGCAATTCATGCAGTGTATTTTGTGTACAGAAATATGAGCTAAAAAAGCCGCATATAGAGAACGTAATTGAACCTTCAGAAAAAGCTCTGGAACAAAGCTTTCAGCCCGCTCGCCACCTTCAGCAACGTGTGGTCACGATAAATCACTCCACTTGCTTCTCCCTCTTTTCTCTAAATTTTCGCTCTTCTTGAATAAAAAAAACACAAGAATGTAGACCTTTATTACCGCCTTATTTGCTTTCTACTCCTTTTTACCTAAAAACTCTTTTGCTTCTAGGAGAGCTATTTTGAAGATAGTACTCACGTCTCTTTCAACCCTTAATCGCATTGGAAATTAACAAATTAACTAACTTTATTTTTGTTTAAACTTGGCTGAGAGCTACTTGTAAACTAGCGCCTTTTTAGCAACACTGACCGAATTGGCGACAAGTGTGGGCAGTTACAGAGTTACTAATACCATAACAAGTATATAAGCAAGTCACAGGAAAGCTCTTACTAGTTGTAACTTAACTAGTCAATGCACATGATGCGCTCTCAGTTTAGGAGAAAGCTTAATGTCAAGCTTTTATTCCCAAAAACAATTTGTTTTGTTTAATTTAGCTGTTAAAAAGAAGTGCCCTGAACACAACTTGATTAAACAAAAACTTAGCGCAATTTCCAACTGTTTTGACAAGTATCCCTGTAAACCCCTTTGAAAAGAGTAGTTTTTGGTTCTATGCTTGATGGTAAGCACTGAGATGACCATTACCCTTTTTAGATAATTTTAAATTAATTTTTCTCAACCAGCTGACTAACCACAGTACCTTTTCCTTTGTTCTTTCAGGCAGCAACGGTCGTGTCGTGTACCACAGAGCATAAACGAAGGTTGGAACGTTAACGAGAACAAAATATTTGATTAGTTCGACATAATGCTCAGACATAAAATCAGCTAAACTTTTTAATGGGCCAAGGATCAAATGACACAACTGCGTGTTGTACTTAAGGTTTGTAAGATCCATGACATACAGTATCCAAGCCTGTCTACCTAAAAGGTTTTCAAAGCAATTTAAACCTTTAAGGCGCACTTGACGCGATTAAGAAGAAAAAGTTTTCTAATACCTGTCTCTTCTTCAACTTTCATCACTCGATAAAGCATTTCTTCTAGATCTAAGAGCCTAGCTTTTAGCACTTCGGTGACCGAGTGAGTTTGCACCATACCCCAATAATCGGTATCTCCACACTGTAAAATTTGCATTCTAATTTAGCAAATTTTAAGTCTCCGTCAGGCATCAATGTTAGACGAGAATTAACAAGCAACGAAGAAAAACTTGAAACTGTGTGTCTACGAACAGTAATAAGTGCGACGCATTTCACGGCAGTTTGTACTTTTGAATACTTCATTGCTTTTCCTAGACTGCATGCTCAATGAGAGATCTATTATAGTTACTTGTTCGATGTCAACGACAACATTATCAAGCACTTTCGACATCCCTGTAATACCGTAGCGCCAATGGTCATGAATCGGATGGTCTCGCGGCGCCGTCGCTTTTTTGTCCATCTGGAAGGTCGACGCCCTAAAACCGATCTCTATAATGGAGCAGTGGCTTCCAAAACTGTTTTAAGCGTTTTGAAATTTTAGGTCAACAATTTCTTTCACATTTATAAATGTTCATTCAATTTATTAGAGTTTTCATAGACGCAAGTGTTTTTTAACGCCGAATAAAAATTTTACACTACAATAAAAATGAATTTTGAGCTCATTTTGATTCTTAAATTCTTCCTTTACCGGGCCAAAAAAATTTTGTTAAAAGTGTTAGCAAGCAGATTGATTTTTATATTTTTTTTTCAGCAGGGCAAAATAATTCTTAGATAAAGTGGGAACATTTTCTATTCTCCAAAAAAAAGATCCAAAGTTGGAGCAGAAAGTTTAAGAAACAGTGGATTTGAAAACAAATTTCTCGTATTTTAGAACCAAATATTATCAAAATTTTAGATACCATGGGCAGTCACGTTTGGCAGAATGAGATTGGGGAAAGTAATAATAATAATATAATTATTATTATTAGTACTATGGCAATAATTGAAAAAAAGGGTGATGAGCATTAACCTGGCTTTTAGGTGATAATTTAGTTTGTCTGCTATTTGCTGGATGGAAAGCTCTCGATGACCTTGTAACCATCGTAATAAGTTGAAATCTGTATTATAGTAGTCGGTCAAATTGTCTTTTACCAGCTCACGCAGCTTGTTCACTTTCTGACGGTCTTCATCACTCATTTCCGTCTGCCTCATATTCGCTTCCCTCTAAATAAATAATAACATTCCTTCTGTACTCTGTCGTCATACCGGGCCACTTCAACAAACTGATATGACTTTATTTTTAGGGGACACAAACACATATTTATGACTTAAAAAACAGCGGTCAATTTCTCAAAAAAAAAAAAAACATTGTTCAGTGGGAAAAAAAGTAATATGATTACTGTTGCCAACGTTTAAAAATACTGAAAGTTATTTTAAGGAAAGCTTATTAAGTAAAAAAGCAAAGAGAAGAAATTAAATGAAATACATCCTACAATTTATTGTTGCAAATAGAAGCAAATAAAACTGTTGAATATTAGAAAAAAAATAGGTTATTTACGAATTGACAAACAATGCTATTAACAAACAACTTAAAGTGTCGTTTTTGAACATTTTTCTACTAAGAATGCAAATTGCAGCCCATATTCTAAAATAAATTTTACAATTGTCGGTTCAAAACTATGGAAAATCGCTGGTAAAAGGACAAGGTAAGATCTGAAACTTCAGTTATAGTCTGCTGCCGACAAACTATTAGCTGAGGCAACCCTTAAAAGTTGTTAAAAAACAGAAAAATTGTTCAAGAAAATAAAATATTGTAAGGGTTAAATCTGTATGAACATTTCAATTAAGATTTAAGTGCATTGCTGTTAGTGGTCGCGATGTATAGTCTCAATAAAATTGATAAAATTTGAATACTTAATTCAATTCATGTCACATAAAAATTTTCAAAAGTTATTAGACAGATGAGGGAATTACTGAGAAAAGTTTTACTGAACTTGGCAAACAAAACAAAAATTTTATTTCTATTCATTTTCAAAAAAAATATTAGTTCCAAAAACGTTAACAGACTTGATAAAGAAAAAGTTTTCAAAAATTTCAAAAATTTCAAATGTCAGTTGCAGTGTATCAGTTCTTTTGAAAAAAGTAATAAAATAAGTTTTCCAGATATAAATCTTAGTTTTTCTTCGTCTAACTCCTATACAAGCATTTATTTTTGCAAAATTTTCTTGGGTCTTAAACTTTAAATTTGAAATGTTTAGGTGCACCGTTGCTAGATTCTTTTGAGAAACTTCCAAACTCATGATTTTTTAAAGGCCAAAAACAAATAATCAAATCTACGCCACCAAAAATTGAAACATAAATGAGTGTTAAAAAAAAGTGGAGATTGCAGTAAGGAAAACAAATCAAAAGAAGACAATGCTTATGAAGCGCTACACGTATTGTCGAAGTATGAAAATGCACATCACACCCTTGCCTTAACAAATTTTTTTTCGTTTTAACATTTAAAGCAATTAACATGAATGAGTGTCTGAAGGACCTAAAACACGCTACAGTTGTTAAATTTGATGTTTGGTCGACTTTAGACAGTGATTTACTTAGTCCTGAAGTAACAGAGCATAAAAAGAATAAAAGGAATTCGGTAACTTCTTTTCATCATTAAATTTAAAAATTTTGAAGAAGTTAAAAAGGAGTTACTGAGTGCCAAGTCAGGAAGAATATTTTAAAAAGATTGGCTAATACTCGGGCATTCAGAGAACTGTCGTTGTGTGACAAATTAAAAATATTCAGAAACAAGTTCGGCGTGTAGGATGGAAACGTTCGCCTGCTGTTTTTTTCCGCGTCAGCGCCGGCGTTGATGACGGTGAGGACTTTGGTACCGATACTGCTGAAGGGTCTGCTGTTGACTGCCGCAAAACGTCATTATTTGTTTCTGTCGTAACAAATAAAAATATTTCCTCATCGATGAAAATCTCTGCAAATCTGGTGATTAATAACGATAACAACAACTGACTGACAAGTTATCTTTGTCTTTTTTCTAATTGCCTATGCTACTGATAACTTCATTTGTTTGTCACCGAAGCAGCAAGATGGACATGAAAATATATATTTTTGATTACGTCAATATTAAACGGCCAAAAATGAAGCTTTTTAACAGGACTCTTGTTTGACTAATGACACCGTTGTTTCCGAAATGAATTAGCAATTGCTCAACACCGATTACTTCAGTTTAAACTTTATCATTCATTTAAAAAGAAGTTGAAGAAAGAGAACTGGTAAACGACCAGAACCACTAAAAAATCGATGTGAAGTGTGCAGGTAGACATTTTCACTGTTTAATCAAAGTTTTCAAGTTTAAAGTTTTATTCATTTATTTTATGACTCGTTTTTAAATACTCCTTTTTTGTTCATAGCTGTTATCAAAAATTTTCGATAGATATTTGTCTACTGCAATGACTTTTAAGAAATACTAATTTTGATTACTCTGGTTAGGTAAAGAAAATATGAAAAAGAAGCAATAAATTTTTTACGTGATTTCAAAGAGTCGAAATAATAAAACAATGACTGAATGATATATTGCAAAGATTGTTTTTTGAAGAAAAACAAACATCAGCATTTATTTTTCATTAAAATTTCTGACGGGAACATCAAGTTACCAAATAAATAGTATTATCATAGACTATAAAATTCTTTCTGCCACATTTTTGAAGAGAGCGGTTTATCGGGTTTCGTAGAACAATCTCTAAAGGAAGGTTAATTGACTGAAAGAAAAATCTGTTGTTTTATTATTGCTTTAGCAAACAGAGAATTCTTTACCATATTGCTAGATAATTTTATAGAAACCAATCCATCTCTGCTTTGAACCCTCTCTCTACTTTATCGACGTCGAGATTTCAAAATATGTTGTATAACTTTTCTTTGAAAGTTCAGCCATGATCAACGTTTAATAAAAACAAAGTCTTCATGAAGTTTCGTTAAAGTCTCTGTCAGTGGTATTATATGACTAACTGCTGTTGAGTCAGTTGCTGTAATTCTGTCGAAAGAGGAGAAAAAAAAGAGTTTGTTGACAAAATCAGTTCAGAAGCAGATGTGACCTTTACAGTCTATCAACTAACGAAAAATAATTTATTACAATTTATGGTGGAAAATTTTTTTTTTGTCGATTACCTATGGTCAAGAACAAACAAACACTTATATAGATGTTTTTCGGTATATTGTAAGACAATTTGCAATTGCAATTTCAAATACTTATTTGTCGACAAAAACTGTACGTGATACGTTTGTCACATTATGTAATCAAATGATTTTTTTTCAAGCAAAAAAAACTGTACAATTTTAAAAGTATAATTAGAAGACTGTTATACTAAAATGTCTGTTTTCGGTTGTTTTTTATTAAAATTATTTTGATAAAGAAAAACGGTTTGAGATCTGGTATAGATGGAGTCAGAACAGCAACCTTACAGCATTAGATCATAAAACATCTGCACTCTCGTACAGTTTTATGCACAAAATTCGGAGATAAACTTTTTGCTTCTAAAAACTACAACGTTAGTGTTGTGTTTTGTAGCAGTTCTTTCAAATTTGCTGAACAATTAAATAATGTGAATTTTATTACAGGAAGAAAGGCTTTCATTGGCTGCTTGTCTGGCTCTGAAGCCGGTAAAAATAAGTAAAAATAGAGAGAGAAGGAATTTAACAAGATACAATGTGTTTCGACTGTTTAAAATTGCATAGTTGAGCTGCTTACAGCCACAAATTGATGAGCAAGAATTATCTGAAAGTACTTGCTGCTATTCTGAAATGAATCAAAACCAAAGGTAGACAACAAAACAGAATCAGCTTAAGAATTTAGTTTTTTCTGAACAAGAATAGCAGTTGTCAGGTTGTTCTTGTACTTTCAGTCTAAAAGTAATTACAGTCAAATAAAAACAAGTTTTTTCTGAAACATTTGGGTCTTTTTGAAAGTAACAGCTACTTTTGCAGTTTAAAATCAAAATTTTTGATCATAGAATGATTGGCTATCGCATTTAATTTAAAATTTTTTTTGTTGTTTCTCCAAAAACTGAGAGACAAGAAATTACAAAATTGTTTGCTTTATTAAACTTCTAAAAAACAGAATATTAGTTTAAAATGTTTAGATGTTATAGATGTGACTAAGCAGTTTCTGCACAGTCTGTTTCATTGCTGTCCGTAAACTGCACAGTCTATTAGCAGCAACAATACGCAGTGATATGATAATTGTTCATCGACTAAGATCAACAGTAATCGTCTACAGTAGTTGAATTTAAACCATTGAATCTGTTGGTGACGTTCAAACCGACCAAATTAAAACTGGGCAATCTACAAATAATTGTTTTCTGTAATTAAATATGAAATTAATGTCAATTATGCCTGTCACAGTTTTTAAAAAAAAATTTCTTTCAAAAACCTCTAAAGCAGTTATTTAATTGAATTCAGAAGCGTATGTTGAAGAAATCCTGAAAGTTTTATGATAAAAGAAGTAAAAAGGAAAAAAGTAACGAAGTTTTTTTAAAGACCGTGTATCGTTGGTTTTAACGACTACTCAACGTGCTAACATAGTAAAGTTTAGACAACCTCTTACACTTTTTCTGTTGTTTATTTTTGTATTCACCCAGCCAATTTATATACTGTTTTAATGATGCAGAAAAATTTTTACACGTAGGGAAAAGTATTTATAAAATAGAAGAAAATTGAAAATTGAATATAAAACTGGAACAAACAACCCTTCCCTGTAAGCAGCAGTGAAAAAATAGTCTCTTTCCTTTTCACAAGTCATCAGAAAAAGGTGTGTGAAAAAAATGTTGAAAAAATTTACATTGCCAAACTGTTATAACAAAATAAGAAAAAAAAAACTGAACAAAAAGCGCAATTAATAATCGGTAACTGTTTGATAGTTGTTATAAGTAAAAAAAATTTGAAAATACAAGTGTTTTTTTTTAACCTACAGTTATGATTACAGTGCTCTTTCTGAAACGAACTGTAAGTTTCGATTAAAGATTTAATGCTGTTGTTCTTTTGCCTCGGTTGCAAAACGATTACTTCCGATGATAAGCATAAAGGAAGACAAAAAAAAAAAAAA